CACCCAACCCATGACCCAGGGCCAGGCAGCAAAGGGCTGCCTCCTTGCAACCAGGGCTGCCCAGGGACACAAGAAACTACGACCTAACCCCGCTCTGGCCCATCTGCCCCCCTCAAAGTGATGATTTTGGGGTCCAAACTCATGTAGGGGAATGGAGCTGAGCTCTCCTGCTCCCTCTGCAGCCAGCAGTGGCTGAGGGCCACCCCTGTTTGCCATTTACCCTGCCTGGACCTGTACTCCCCCAGCGGCTCGAGCCACAGTCCTGTGCACACCCAGCCAGGGCAGGGACCAAAGGAGCGCAGTGAAGCCCAAATCCCCCTCGAGGTGTAAATGTGACCCCAGCACTGGTTGTGGTTGGGAGCTACAACAAGGACCCACGGGGCTGCCCTGCCAGCTGATGCAGGGTGGGTAACCAGCAGCAGTGACGCTGGGACAAATGTCAGGTGGATGATCTCCAGCAGCAGCAGAGCTGGGCAGTAAGATGTGGGGAGCATGGCAAAGTCAGGGACAGTGCAAGAAAACCTGCTGGGGAGAAGATAGTGAATTTAGCTGTGAGAAGCTCCCCTCTGGCACAGAGCGGCCTGCCAAGGGATGCAGCGTGGAGGGAGCAAGGAAAACTCAGGGCTGGGAGTGTTAAAACACAGAGAAAGAAAGCGAATGGCCAAGAGATGAAGGCTTTGCCCCGAACCCTGGGTCCCTGCCCACATCATCACAGACTCTACAGGAGGCACCTGGGCTCTCTGGACCCCAGTCCCCACCTCTGTGCAGGCACAGCCACACGGCCGTGTGTGGAGAGCTGAGGCTTTCAGCCGTGCTGAGACACGAGCTGCATCTGCTGGACTCGGACGAATACATGGTGCTGTGGCTTGTCCCCAGGATAATGAAAGGGGGACTCGGAGAGCAGCCGATACGTGAACTCCCTAGGCGAGCAGTGAATGAGAGAAATAGGCTGTAACAGGGAAGGCAGAAGGTCCCCAGGTCCCAGGAAACACAAAATCTCTTGGGAAGATCAGAAAGGTCAAGGATCACAGGCCAAGAGAGGGAAAGTGGAGGGGGTGGATGCTGAGCTGGCTCCGACCTGGCCTCCCCAGGCAGCGCTTTCCACCCGAGCTCCTCTGCTCCTCCGGCTCCCGGCCACGTGGTCAGTACCAGGGCAGGGAGAGGACCAGGGCCTGCACACATGTTCTGCTCCGGGCTGTTCCCAGCTAGCTGCGGGCTGGATGACTTTACCGAAGCCCCAAGGACTTCTCCTCCACCCCGCGCCTTCAGACTCCAACTGCACCTCAGCTCTCAGCTGTGCAGCCCCTGAAGCTGCCCACACCCTCGTTTTGACCTCTCTCCGCCTGCGAGCATCGGCCCCAGCACGGCTGGGGAGGAAGGGAGGAGCACGCCGAGGGGAGAAAGCCCCTGACAGCATCAGGCAGCCCCCACTCTCCCCGCAGAATGGGCAGCGGCCATCCCGGGGGGCCCTGCTGCAGCTGGGCTAGTCGCCGGGGCCGGGATCTGCTGCACGCTGCCCTCCCCGAACATGTGCAGTTCCTGTTTGCTGTGTCTGTACAAGGCAATGGGAAGTGGGGAATTTACTTACACCTCCCGCTTAACAACCCTGGGAGGCTGGAAGGCTTCAGGCCGCTTTAATTTACAGCCCATCTCTCCAATCTCTCACTCGTTCACTGCTGCTTTCTTCCTCCTTGTATTAATGTGACCCAGGTACCTGCCAACAATAATGGACTCGCTTGCGGGGGCGGCCCCTCCCTCCCGGCGCAACTTCTACCTTCGCCTTGATATGAATTGCTCAAAAATTCAAATGAAAAAAGAAAAAAGGCAAAATCTGAAAGGTTGGGGTGGGTTTGGAAAAGCGAAGCGCAGTGGTTCTGGGCCTGGCGCCAGTAGCCGGAGGGTACACATGTGCACGCTCTCCCAGTAGGGCCTTCAGCAGCCCTGTTTTACAACCACCTCGGCACACACTGCAGAGTTCACGCATATGGCCAGACAGATGTGTCTGGCTTACGTTCAAGGCTGGAAAATGAAGAATTATGGAAGTGAAGGGCCCTGGGCATTAGAGAGGGCGGAGGTGAGGGGGAGGGGAGCTAGGGAGAATTTTTCCTCTGCTGAGAAATCCTCATCTGGGCTGTGAGGCTGGAGGAAGAGGGGTTGCGAGCAACGAGGCAGCCAACAGCCATGCATGTGAGATTGCTCTTAAAGCAACAGTGTGCACCGCCAGGCGTCTGCTCCCAGTCCAACCAGTTTACTTCACCAGCTCCCACTGGGAAACACGCTCAGATCAGGCCAGGGCCAGGACAGGATCACCCGTATCCCGTCTGTTTGTCCCCATAACGATGGCAACACTTTGCAAGCGGCGCTCTGGCTGCAGCAGCCGTTCGCAGACTATTTTTCCTGCCGCTGGCTCCCACATGAACTCTGCCGTTCACGTCCCACCCTCTCCCCCGTCTGCCTGTGCCCCGCTGTACAGGAAAGCCGATTTCTCGCCGAACCTCACTGCTGTGGAGCGTCTGCTCCGGGCCAGGGGACAGCTCGCTGCCTGGCACACACTGCACTACAGCCATCAGCTAAAGCACTCCCCTGCCAGGGGCTCCTGGGTGTGCTGGCAGCTTGATGGAGAAGCTGTGTCTGGCTTCACGAGGGTCCCAGGAGTCCCTGAAACATTCATCTCAGGGCCTGGGAGGGCAGATCTTACCCTGGGTGGGGACAGCAACACCGATTTGGCCCTTCCAAAGGGCCAAAGCTAAGCTTGCTGTCGGGTTTCACAGAGGCAGCGCAGGGCACCGACACCCTGGAAGCTCAAGGTGCTATGGGGCATCCTGAGAGGCCACTGGTCCTGAAGCGTGGCAGGGAAACGGCTGCACACCATTGGCACAGTGAGGCAGGATCAGCCCACGTACCAAAGCAAAGCAGCTCCTCAGCTACCTCGGGCACTGCAGTCGCACAACCCGTCCTACCTGAATCTTGTCTTGACGACGCTGTTGCTCAGCTACTTTCCTGGCCAGGGCTTGCTTCTTGGCTCTGAGCTCCTTGATGTCCATCTCTCCTCCGCTGCCTTCAGCCTCAGAATCATCTTCAAATGCCTCAATCCTCACATCATCTTCCTTCTTCCAGGAAACGCAGAAAGACAAAAAACAGGAGAGAAGTCATTGTAAGGGATGCTGGTGGGAGGGACCGTGCTCGTTCTGCTCTCCCCCTTCTAGCAGACAAATTCCCGCCAGGCACAGTCCATCACCGCTTGCTGATGGGTGACTGACTATTTCTAAACATCCAAAAGAAGCAAGCAAAAGAAATAAATAGTAAACATCCAGGAAATAACAAGGTGAGACAGGAGGTAACGGTGCAGGGAGGCCAGCAACCAGGCAGGGCAGGGGCAGTCCTACCTGAAGTGCTGTTCTAAAATCAAACTCCCTAGCCTTGGAAAACTCTTCCCACGGCCCTGGGCGAGTCACTGATGCTTTATAGGCTTCAGTTCTGTAAAGCCATGGTATTTCCCTGTCTCTCCGCTTTGCCCGGCTGTTTAGGCTGCACATCCCTTGGAACAAATGCTGCTTCTCACCGGCGCTGTGCAAAGCTGCCCTAACACTGCTGCCTCATCCAAGGCTAGGCATGCAAGCTGATCACCTTGACAGGAAACTCGGATCCATGAACGCAGGAGACCAAAGAGTCCCTTCCCCTTCTCCATTTTCATCTCTGAATAGGCCAGAGGGATTCTTGCACCCACCCCCAAACTTCCAGCTGAGCTGGAACAGATGTTTCAGAAGGAGATGCTCAATCTTTATTTTAAAGCCCCACTTGATGGAGAATCCACTGTGTCTTGAGGTCAGTCATTTCAACGGTTAATTACTTCCTCTGTTAGCATTTGCACCCTACTTCTAGTCTGCCTTTGCCATGCTCCTGCTGGCCAGGAACCTTGTCTTTGCTGAACTGAAGGGTCCCTGGTTCTCCAACCTCCTACCCGCATAGGCACTTCTGGACCATGTTGCATCTTCACCTTCCCCTAGAGACCCTTCTCTGGTTCTCCCCTCCAGAAGGTCTGCAGACCCTTCCCAGTATGCCTGCACTGCTTGAACTGGAGGCCCCAGAATGGGCCATGCTGTTCCTATCCCAGGTGAACACTGCGCTGGCCTGTCCCTATGTACCCAAATCTCTGGAACACAGGAGGGTGGAAGGCGGTGGCTGGTGTCCAACTGGGGATCAGCCACAACCCAGCTCCACCCCCAGCTTCGCTGCTCTCCCCAGTGGCTCCCTGCCCAAAGGGGAGACCACAAGTCCCTGTTCCTCAGCATGTGTCCCACCAGCATCTGCCTGCAGGCACGTGCTGCCCACGAACCAGGCTCTGCCGCTGACCCAGACAATCCCCTCGGCCTGCCCAGACCCCCTTGCTCCCCAGTGCAGTGACCATGGGCCTTCCCAAGCCTTGCCAGTACCAGTCTCCCCTTCCCTGCACAAAAGCCAAGGGTTGTGATGGGGCTGGGAAGAGCTCCCAGGTGGGACCCAGGCAGAAAGACCTGCTCTGAGCCCGCAGAGGGCTGCAGGGGATGGATCCTGCACAAGAGGATCTCCCAGAGGGATAAGAGCATCACTATACTCCCTGCCCTGTGCAGGCTGCCATAGCACACGTCAGAAGGAGGGACTTGGGCAGGAGCCTGCAGTCTTAATTTAAAGAACCCCAACACTACACAGTCTCACACTCAATCATTTCACCCAGACCACACACCCGTCTGGCCACAGAACCACATACTCTTCTCTCCTTGTGACTTTTTAGCCATGGGAAGGAGGAAGACAGAGCCCTCAGGCTCACTTCCCTCTGCCAGGACAGCCTGGACCACAGGGGATGGGGGGATGCTGCCAGAGGGACAGTGTCGCACAAGGGCCTTGGTGAAGAGCGTGTGTCAGATGCAGATACGCTGCGGTGGATCGGGATCCACTTGCCCAGGCTGGTGGTGGTCATGCTGGCAAGCTGGAAGCTCCCTTGCGCTTAGAGCCCAAGGAGGAAGCTCCAGGGTTGCGCAACAAGCTCACGCAGAGGTTCCCACAGCTGAGCAGAGACTGTGGGGAGGGGGCAGGAGGGAGCTATCCTGCATCCCGTGTTTGTTCATAGCAGAAACTGGAGGGACCAACCCAACAAGAGGAGTGCTCCGTAGAGCAGGAGCGTCCCTGTCGTGACACCGGGTGGAACCTGGAGATCCCCCCATATCACACGCTCTTGGCGGTGTCATCCTGAAAACCTCCTGCACTGCCTCCAGAAGAGGACAAGGGTCCAGGTCTCCCACCTTACAGAGACATCTCTTGCTGCCTGGGGTTTTGCTCTGAGCCCCAGTGCAAAAAAATATCACCTGGGACAAGGAGGGTGCCGAGCATGTTCTTGCTCTAGGCTCCTCCAGCCGTCAGCTCCCTGGGGTGCACAGGGCCACGGGCCACCAAGCGCCAGCAGAGGCGAGGTGCTGTCCCCTGCACGGGGCGATACCCCCTCTGGCTCTGCAGCGCCCAGCCCCAGCGCAGGGAGGGGACCCAGAGCGAGCCTGGGCAGCGCTGGGCCACCCAGCTCCCCGCTCCCAACGCCTCTGCCCCTCTCTCCTGTTTCCCTGGCCTTTCCAACTGCAAGATTAAACAGAAGAAAAGAGTCAACCTGCAGAGCGGCTGGCAGGGCCCTTAAACACACACACGGAGCCTGGAGTGAAGCAAGGCCTACAGGAACAAGCAAGGGCAGAAAAACAAGAGTTGAATTCCTTAATCACATCAGGATGTGAGAGGCAGGGGAGGGACGGGGCGCCAATGTCAGCTCTTCCTGTACGTGTGCTGGAGGCTGGAGCTCAGGCCTCTGCCGCAACGAGCTCCACGGCTATAAACTTGATCCTGAAGCTGAACCCTGACACCCCCTCGCCCACCTCCTCTCCTGAGGCCACGGCGCTGCATGTTATTAAAGCTCCCCCCGCTTCGGGTATGAAAAAGCAGCATCTGGAACTCATAGCAGCGGGCGAGATAGAGGCAGGCGGGTTGGACTGGCAGGAAAGGGCACGAGCGAAGTACACTCGGGAGACAAGGGCTGTGCACCATTTGCCCCCCCTCTGCCTCCCCCCATAAAATGCACACGCAGCTACGCCGGCTATAAATAGCGGGAGCTGCAGGGCAGGCAGAGGCTGGGCCCCACAGGGGTGATTCTTCCTTCACCGAGGCGCGCTCTTCCCGCACGGTACCTGATCTTCCAGTTGTTTTCCCTCTTGGCTTCCCATTTCCTTTCCCATGGCGTCTGGGACGGGTGCCACTGACACATATTTTCCACCCTTGAATGCCAGCAAAGGCTCTTCTTGTCCACAAAGGGCTTCCAGGAAATACTTCAGAACTGTGACCCTCTTGCAGTCGGCTGCAATAACCTACAGGGTGAGGACGAGGGGGTTGGGGAGAGGGAAAGGAAAACAAATTCAGTGTAAAGGGGAGGCGGACTGGCAACGGCCAGGGGGGAAATATTCAGGGCTAGGAGGCCCAGCGGGACGCAGGCAGCACCGCACAGCACCGCGGGGATGTGCAGAGTGCCCCTCTTCTTCTAAACAGGAATGGAAGGGGTTTGCCCATGCCTTGGAGCCCATTGTCCCCGGGGCCGCCAGGGGGCAGCCAGCCCTTCGCC